TAGTCTAGACGAATTTGTCATTCAACTTGAAAGTTCGACGGAAGACCGTTTCGTTGGATCACCATAGCGACCACCCGCTATACAAGGCGCGTCCGCGTCCTTGCCGTTCACACGGCCCCACGCTGCGCCCCGGGTCACGGAGTGCAGCAGCAGATCGGCGCGGGGGAGGGAAGGTCAGAACAAACGCGGCGGCGCGCGCGGGACTTAGAGAGAAGGGTGACATTGTGGAGAGCAAGGTGGAGAGACACATTGGGATGAGACAGCAAGGATGGATGGAAAGCAAGGAAGAGACCTTGTGGAGACAAAGAAGGGATAAGAAACAAGGAGAGGGCAAAGAGAGACTTTTGGGAGAGAGAAGGGACATTTTGGGGAGAGACGGAAGGAGGAGAGGGTGAGACATACTCCGGGCGGTGTGACCCGGGAGGGGGGGGGGAGGAACACATGGGGGAGACACACACGGAGAGGAGCGACTCCGGCGAGAGACACATGGGGGAGAGACACACGGAGAGGAGCGACTCCGGGGAGAGACACATGGGGGACACACGGCGGCGGCGCCCCGGAAAAAGGGAATCCGCTCGAGGCGGGCTATGTGGGCCCGGGCTGGGCAGGCCGTAAAAGCAAGAGGCGTCCCGCCCCATTAGGTCGCGTGCGAGGCGACTGTCTGCCTCTCTCTGTCGCACCCGCGTGCCGTCCGGGACGAGAGCGACAGAGAGAGCGTCGTGCTAACCGCGCGAGCTAGAGCGCCTAGCACCGCGCTAGCCGCGTCGGCAAATGGCCTTCCTCCCTTGTGTTTCGATACTGTCAAAACGTGAGTAATTCGCACCGGATGGCGCCACACACACACACACACACCGGCAAATGGCCTTCCTCCCTTGTGTTTCGATACTGTCAAAACGTGAGTAATTCGCACCGGATGGCGCTGCGGGGGCTGCGGGGGCTCGGGGCGCGTTTAGCAGCGGGCCGCGGCGAGGAACGCGTTCACCTCGCCTTTCTCACCGCGTAGCGCGCGAAACGGGCATCGGGGCTAATTCCGATAAACCTAGCCGCCCCGCACAGTTTTATTTATTTACGCCCAGCTCTCAAGAATATCAGCAGTCATAAAAAATAAAGGGAAGAGGAATTGTGAAAACTTTTTTCCCGAGTCGGCGGCGGCGGCGGTGTACACACGGGGTAGAGAGTAGTCGCTAACTGCTCCGGAGAGGCTATTAGGCGGGGGCGCGACTGTTTGAGAGTTGCCAGAAGGAAAAATGTAATAAGAGGCGAGCAAAGTTGGCCAAAACGCTCATCACAAATCACCACCCCGAAGCGGCAAAGGCGCCCGGGCGAGACACTCTCCGCGGCGGCGGTGCGGGCGGAGCGCGCAGGGTGCGGCGCGGGTGGAGGGACCCCGCGGGCTGCAACCTCCCGCCCCGCCCCGCTCCCCCCGTGCGCCAAGACCATCACCTTTCACTACCTCAACTTTTAACCACCGCGGCGCCGTCCCTTCTCCCCCGCCGCCCCGGAGTCGAACCGAACGCGAGTCGTCGTGTTTACAGCCGAGGACAACCATTACGCCCGCACAGGCTGCCGCTTCGAAACACAACTTTAAAAAAAAAAAGTGGAGGAAGAAAAATGTTTATGCAAGTTTTCGCGTCCACCCGCGCGCGCGAACGAGCGGGCAATAAAATGAGACGTACGGGAAAAAGGGCTCTCTCTAGTGCGGCCGCGAAAAGAAATCACACACACACACACACACACACACACACACACACACACACACAAACACACTTTGGTGAGTATGTCGTCACAGAGGAGAGATGACACAAATTTGAGACAATTAGAGAGGACGGTCGGGCGAGGAGAAGAAGAAGGAAGAACGAGGAGGAGGGCGACCCTCCGCACCGCACACAGGCTTCATATTTTTGTCGCACATTATCCGAGCATTATCGCGGCCTAAAGCACGCTGCGGGGCGGCGGAGGCCTACGCGGCGGTGGGGGAGGTGTGCGGGGGCTGCGCGACTAACACACCAGCATGACTCGACTGTCTTTTTGTTCCGGAGAGGGACATAACGGTGCGGCAAAGGAAAGAGATTTTTCCGTTTCCTTCTCTCCATATTAACTGGCGGCGTTGCCCTACGACTACATCAGGGGGGACATTCAGCGAGATAAGCGGGAGCAGGTTATTCGGATGAAAAAAAAAAGGAGGACGGACTAGAATCGCGCCGAGGCTCGCAAATTTTTCCCCCTCCAGTTGCAAGAAAAACATCATGGAAAGAAACGGACGTATCTTTTTCCTCTATATTATTTTTACGCGCGATTTTTGTTAGTTAGACAGAGAAGTACATTAAACTTAACAACTTTTCTTGGCAATTTCAAACCAACACAAAAACACACAGCAAAGGAGGTGTGGAAGAAAGTCTTACCTCTGTATCCCCGGTCGTCGTCTTTTTCGTTATTGTTATCACAAATGCCACTTAAAACATCTGAAAGACAGAAAAGAAAACACAGAATTAATACTGATACAACACAATACAATAAGTAAAAAGTAATTCACATCTGATATAAAATAGATTCCTAACGTCGAACGACTGGGAATATTTTCCCGAATCTTTTCATGCACGAAATAGCTTCTGACACCAATCAGCAGCAGGGGGACTACACAGAGTACATTTTCCCACCGGGTGGTGGGCAATCCCAGGGGCGGGGGTACCTCTCGGGTCCCTCGGCCCTGTGCTCGGGGCGCGCCCAAGGTGCGTCGCGCGCTGCTTGGTATGCGGCGGGGGCGCGCGGCTGGCCGCGAGGAGTTTCACCATGTCCATCACCCTCGAATGCCCAAGTGCGTGTGTGTCCGTGCGCGTGAGCGCGCGCGCGCGCGCGCGTCCGTGTGTATGGGTGCGAGTGCGCGCGCACGGAATGTGCCTCCGGAACCGATAGAAACGTTCCCACCACACACTTAAATGTCCATAAGGAGAATTGCTGTAAGTAGCATCGGACTTTTGTGAGCCTAACTGCGTTTTGGTACAATTGTAAATTACAATACATACATTCAACAAGCTAGTAAAAATGACATGATCTCAGATATGCACACACACACATAATTCCGTTGCTGGTTACAATCATTGTCCTTACGCCAAGAAAAATTAAAAGTTGTAGAAACCATCTAATGGTTCTTCCAGGGATATAACCATAAAATATGGTTTAGACAACGATCTGCCAGTGGTGAAAATCGTATTTTTGGTTAGAACACCTGTGCTGTTGTTGCCCCAGCCATATTTTATGGTTGTCCCTGCAGAACCCTACGCTGGTTGTTACAACTTTTCATTTTTCTCGGTGACAACTTTTCATTTTTCTCGGTGTAGACATTACGAGCAGAAACAAATGGTTGATTTCTAGGGGAGGTTGCGTTGTCGGCCGGGTGTGGGCTTCATACATAGTCTAGACGAATTTGTCATTCAACTTGCAAGTTCGACGGAAGACCGTTTGGTTGGATCACCATAGCGACCACCCGCTATACAAGGCGCGTCCGCGTCCTTGCCGTTCACACGGCCCCACGCTGCGCCCCGCCCCGCCCCGCCCCGCTGCTCATCACCGCGCTGCTTTCGAATGGCCACTTGATTTCACTGGCCGGCCGGCCGGGCGAAAAAAAAAGAGGAGGAGACGAGAGACACAAGACGCGCCCAGTATTGTCCATTCCAGAGGCGACGCTCGTCGTATGCAAGCTGCGGACACATCCGGCGCGAGGGAGACGGCGGGAGACGGCACGTCTAGACCACATACGGTTGTCTTGTGAAGCGCCCCCCCCCCCACACACATCCCAGAGCCCCCACCCCCGCGCACAGCCGCAACGCCACTTGAAAACGTAATCCTTTACGTTTTTATAGCGGTGTGCGGCGACACCTGTTCAGTTAAACAGACAGATGGGCGTCGCGGGGCCGCAAGCACCGAGTGAATTAGGGGACGTGGCCGACGTGATAGCGGGGCGGGGCGGGGCGGGGCAAGGAGTGGCGCTCCCCTCCCTTGTAAACAACCCCTTATATAAATGACGGCAATCTCACGCACGGGGAGGGGCAACTTGGGGGCGGGCGCGCGGAAGTTTGTGCGCGCGCGGGAGCCGCGGAGGGAGAGCGAGCGAGAGAGAGAGAGAAGCACCTGGTGGGGAGCAACAGATGAGGGAGCGGTGACGAGCCATCGGCACACAATGGGACTCGCCGCGCCGCCGCCGCCGCCGCCGCCATTTGCAATAAAGACCTTCCGGAGGCCGTCACACTGTTGCTGCACAGTACAGCACAGTCACACGCACGCACCCAAGGTGTATAAAACACCTGACGCGGAGCTCGGTACCGACCGACGCCGTACATAGGCAGGTATACATAAGAGAGTGCTGACGGGAGAGTCGACCAAGATGGTCGTCGAGGTAGTCGTCGTCGTCGTCTTCCTGCCGCAGCGCACCTGTTGATGCGGTGCTTATATGACGCGCGGAGGGGGAGTGAGTGAGAGAGACGCATCGAGTGAAGACATCAACTAGACGCGTGCTGCTCGCTGCACGGCCAGGCTCCCGCCGCCGCCGCTACAATGTTGGCAGTTCCGTCGGCCGTAACTTTGTCGCCATCAAATCGAAACTCTCCCCCTGGCCCCCTGGCCTGGCGTGGCCGGCGCTCGCTTCATTTGCGCTCGCGACTGTTAGTTGTTGGCCGCACGGCGGTGGCGGCGGCGGCGGCGGCGGCGGCGGCGTTTGGACGGCAAGGACGCCACCGGCCATTTGGCATATCAAGGCGGCGCAATTAGAGAAAAAAAAAGGACGGCGGCGGCGGCGGCGGCGTGCGCGCGACAAGGACAGCGCGGACAGCAAGCGGACAGCAAGCGGACAACTCCCGCGGACACGCGCGGACACACGCGCTCGGACGCCCGCGGGGACACCCCTTTGCTGTCTAGCGGCGAGCCGAGAGTAAAGAGCGCGATGGACTTGAACAAACGTTCCGACTTTCACTGCCGATCTCAAAGAAACGGAATGAAATGCACCGCAATCGTATTTGGTTTACCGTTCACCGCAAATTCCAGAAAAAATGCATTACAGTGTGCTCATAACGTAAAGAGAAATTTTACTTTTGAGTTCTGCACTCAGAAAATGGCAAAATGCCTTGCATTAAGGCATTTTTAACCCGCTTAGAAAATACGAGGAAATTTTCTTGGGCATAAGAGGGGGTAAGGTTAAAACAAAAGAAAAGTTGTCGTTTTACCAACATTATCTTGTATTTTCTGAAATGAATTTTTCTTGGATAATGATACTATTTTCTGGGTGTGGCTAGGAATCTTGAACAAACCCTAGAAGCCAGCAACTGCTCCGCAGCGTAAACAGCATGAATATATGCGGAATAATTCGAAGCTTGGCAGTGCCCTATCTAGCAGGGGCTGACTGACTGCGTGAGACTTAAGGGCCTTAAGTGAGCGACCCCCTCTCCCACCCTCTCCCCCTTCCGGACACCGAGCTGCTGCATAGCAAGGCCCGTCGCCTCACCCCTTCCCCGCCTCGCTCCCCGCTGATCCTCGCCGTGCATAAAATCCCGCATTCTATCGCACTCCTGGTGCAGCAGCCGAGCGGCGAAACATGTTGCAAACGGATGAAAACGCCCTATTTCCTTGCGAGCGGGTCCGGCCGGCGGGGCGGGGCGTGGCGGGGCAGTGGCGTGGCCGATCCATTTAGATAGCGGAGAGCCGAGGATGACGGCGATTTCGTATGCGGGCCGCAGCGCCTAATGCTGTTTGCCTGTTTGCCCCAAACCGACTAATTAACTTGTACAACTAATGAGGCATGCGAAGCACCGGGAGCAGCGGCAGGCGCAGGAGCAGGTAGCGGCCGCGGGAGCAGTCCTAGCGGGAGCCTAGTCGGAGCCTAGAAGCCTAGAAGGAGCCTAGAAGGAGCCTAGAGAGAGCACCGGGATCGGCAGGTGAGGCGGGTGGCACCTGCCTGAGGCTGTAGTGGGTCTAGAGGGAGAATGGCCAGGCGGATAACCTGGAACGCACACGGCACAAAACTCTAGATGATAGATAACCTAATGGTCGGTGAGGAAGCTCCAGAACATCCCAGTAGCAGCTTTAATTTTTAACCTCAGAAAAAACCTGGAGTGAGGAAAAGTCTAGCCCGCTACAGAGCCTAGCGGGAACCTAGCCGGCGCCGCCGGCGCAGCCCGTCCCGCCCCGGTCGGAGCCCGCCCAGTAGGCAGCCCGCCCGCACTGCTGCATGTAGGCCTACATTGCCTATCTGTGCCCCTGTCCCGCTCCCCGGGCTAGCGCCCAGTAGGTAGGCATCCCGTCCACACCGCTGTGTCTACATTGCCTATCTGTGCGCCTGCCCCGCCCGGTTGGAAGGCTCGGTTGGTGCCCAGGCTAGCGCCCAGTAGGTAGGCATCCCGCCCGCACCGCTGCGTCTACGTTGCCTATCTGTGCGCCTGCCCGGCCCAGGATGGAGCCCGGGCTAGCGCCCGGTACGTAGGCATCCCGCCCGCACCACTGCGTCTACGTTGCCTATCTGTGCGCCTGCCCGGCCCAGGATGGAGCCCGGGCTAGCGCCCGGTAGGTAGGCATCCCGCCCGCACCACTGCGTCTACGTTGCCTATCTGTGCGCCTGCCCCTCCCAGGATGGAGCCAGGGCTAGCGCCCGGTAGGTAGGCAGCCCACCCGCACCGCTGCGCTAACTTTGCCTATCTGTGCCCCTGCCCGCTCTCCGGGCCCCGGCCTAGCGCCCAGTAGGTAGGCGGCCCGCCCGCGCCGCTGCGCCCGTGGTGCCTACCCGCCCGCCCCGCCGCTGCCACGGGCTGCGTCGCGCCGCCGGCGACACCAAGACAAACCTCACTCACGTCGCGTCGCACAACACTCCGCCCCTGCGCGTCCGACTGCCTGAGTCATGCCTGCACTTAGCTGAACAGGGCCGCGCACACCACACGACCGGACGCAAGCCGGAAAGAGAGGAAGACGAAGCGGCACGGCGAGAGAGAGAGAGAGAAGGATAAAGGGGGAAAGAAAAGGTGCGAAGGGAAAAAGAGAGAGAGGGAGAGAAAAAAAAATGACCCGAGCTGCAGAATCAAGTGAATGGCTAATTTAGTGCGCGGCTCTGACCGCGCAATCAAGGGAGAAAAGGGAGCGATTTGGATGCACTGCGGGCACACAGGAGGGACAGGAGAGCGAGAGAGAGAGAGAGAGAGAGAGAGAGGGAGAGAGAGAGGGAGAGAGAGAG